TGTCTAAATTCTATCCAATTATAACACAGAATTTGTTTATTTGCCATTTTAGTTGTCAGTTAATCATACAATCTATAATTTCATTACTATGTATGCATTTTGATAGTCTGAGCCTAATTTTGATTATTGTCATGAAGCAATAAATAAATTTTCTGCATGAGCATTAAATAATCTAACTAATATAAAAAGTTTTAGAGTTATAAGTTTTCTGCTGCATATTATTATATATTGGCCCATATTCTACTATATTCTGTGATTTAAGCTATTTTTGATGAGTAAATTATCATATATGATTTCTAAGCCTTTTAGGTTTCCTATACCAATTAAGAATGCTAACTTATTTTTTTATTCATTTAATTTTACCTCATTACATCAGTTTGTCATACAACTTGTGCATACTATAAGATGATATTTGTCTCAAAAATTTAAATTATTTTAATTGATCAATTAATAAAAAAATTTTTAGATGGTTTAATTTCCTAATGTTAAGGATAAAATAAATTAATAAAAATTCTTTTGTGATTAAATAATTTAGTGTTATATAGTAATCTAGAACTCAGAATAATAATTGCTATATATATATATGTACTTATGTATGTAATTTATACAACTCTTTTGTAATATGACTTCCATATTTGTAATGATTAATTAACACATAGTTATTATGTAATAATAAATTTAAATACTAAAAAAGTTGAATAAAATTACATTTTTTTCAATAAATAACAGAACAAAAAACACATACCTAAAAACTGATAATAAAGATAATAGTATTGGACAAAGAAAAAGATATAAATTAATATAGTAAGATTCAATTAAATTTTTATTTAATTCATATTAGGTTCACTAAAGTTAAAATGCAAAAATATCAGAAATGAAGTAATAGTAAGAGATAAGCCTGCCTTAGCTATAAGCATGATTTTTTATTTTTATTAATATAATTATTTAACTAGTTTCCAAGTTGTCATTAAAATCAATCGAAGCTAATAGTTTGGTTGAAAATCTTGAACCAGATACAAATATTAGAAAAGAAAAACAAATCCAGATCACTCTAATATAAAAAGAAAATAAAGGAAAAATGAGACAGCAAGTTCAACTAGTAGTAATAATAGTATAACATTCTTTATACAATTTTTAATATACATATAATCCTAAATTTTTTTTTAATTTAGATATGATTCAAAATGTGGATAATTCATATTCTTATAAGACAAAATGAACAAGATGAACAAAATAAACAAACTTCAAATACCTCATCTTCTTTAATCAGAAATAATTCGTCTGAAAATTTTTATGATTACCAATTGTTGGCATCTAATAATAAATCATCTTTTTCTGATAAAAGCTATTCACCTAAAAGTATTCATAGTCAACATTTGCCAACATTTAATTCAACCTTACCTTTTTTAAGCTGAACACATTCATCTAAAAGTATTAATAACTGACCATTATCAACATCAAATCCAAATACCACATCATCTTTAACTAGAAGAAATTCATTTGAAGAAGTTACTATTAGTAATTCTTATCATCAACCACAATTAATATCTCATCGCTAATTGGTCCATTTAAAACTAATCTCGATATTTGTCTGTATTAAGTACAGCATCCACAGCTTATTAATTTAGCATTAAATATAATAAATGCAGGTAATAAGAAATCTTTAATAGCTTATAGAAGAGTTAATAAATTCAATATGCGTCCTGAAAGAGTAAATATAATATAATTCATTAATATTAAAAATCTAATATTTATTTTTTTCTATTTAATTAGAAACTGAAAACATTTCAAATCATCTAAAATGTCTCTTTTTCTGCACAAGAGTCATAAATAAACATATAATCGATAAGCTATTGAAGACTTTGTTTTCAAACATTCAAAATACTGATACATCGAATCATACAGCATTGCAAATGTAGGCATTTGGATGTTATTATGATTACAATACTTTTTTGAGTGTAAACTTAAAAAGCTTGTCACTGAATTTATTAGAAAATATAAGTAAGTTGTAAATAATTATTTGCCATTTATTTAATAAATAAAAAAAACTAAACAATTATGATTTAGACTTAACTTACCAAGGCAAAGCAGCCAACTAAACATCAGATTGTCTATATATTTTTATTTTTAAACACTAATTCAAAAGTTCTTTTATTATTAAATTATTTTTTTTGCTTAGAGTTTGTAGTTCTTGTTGAAAGTTTAATCTAGTAAAGTTTGATTATTTTGCACTATGCATAACTATAGTGCCCAGATATTATTTTAAATCAATTAATTTCTGCGAATTATTATATAAAACCAGAATACAAATTACACAAAAAATAACACACTAATATAAATATATACCACTGGGTATTATTCAAGTTTTAACTGGTACATATGTATTATTTTTATACAATAGTCAGTGCAAATAGTAGAAATCAGTAATTGTTCAACTAATATAAGAATAGGTTAAATAATCTTCTAATAATTTGTACATTAATATTTTGCAACTCATTACTATAAATAGATAATACTTGTAAATTTAAAAACAGGAGTGAATGCGTATTTTATACTTTTTTAATAATATAAAGTACTAAGCAATATCAGCTACCAATTATTCTAATATTCAAATTTTAACTATTTTAATCTTTTAAATTTAGTAATCAATATAATATGAATTTAGTTTTTAAAAAAAACTGGCTATAATATCTTTTGCAAGGTTTAGATTAAATACATTATTTGATCTACTTAATTGACTTTAAAGCACAGATCAAGACATAGCCACAGCATAATTAATAACTATATTTTTTTATTATAAAATCATTAGTTAAATTGAGGTTTGAGAGCTGTAGTTGCAGATGCACTATCAATCTGCACTTAGTCAACATAATTTATTTGTCTATTGGTGAAATTAGACCTTAGATAGAGATGTTAAATTTAATTTAAATCTTAGGTAAACATATAGAATAACTACTTAATAAATCAAAAATTCAAAGCTATATCTTAAATAATTTGAGAACATAATATTTGTTT